CCCATCCGCATGATAAATGTACTATTCCGCCAGACTGTTAAACCTTTCTGAGGTTGTTTCACCTTGGATACTTCCGGTCAACGGTTCATTCCGTTCTACTTTCTGCCTCGTATACAAGCCTCCCCCCACGCGTGGGCAGGCGTAATTTGAGTAAATAGCAGGCAAGTGTGGATGAACTGGCCTGTTCAGGAATCTGCAACAAGTGTCATGCTATGTACTCTGGGCAAATACTAGGCGTTAGACATATGCCCCCCATTCCTGCTCGTTCGACACTATTTCTGCTTGGTGGTAACTATATAAGATCGCTTTTTTATTCTACCTCGCCAATTTATTACCTAGAGATCGGGGTGTGGATCACGCTTGATTTAGCTGGGATTAAATTTTCAGAATTGACTGTCGGCATGCAATGGCTCCTTGATCATAAGGACTCTAAGGTACTCTCACCAGGCGAAATCTCAGTCGCCTCTGTTAAGAAAGTCTACCCATCCTGTCAACTAATTCACGCCGACTTCCTCGGCACCGTGGCTAATACTCGGTGGACTTCCTATTTTGTGACCGTCGAACTGCCATAGTTTCGTATTGTTTCTCCTATTAACCAACCACTTACAGCGTTCTGATAATACAGACTACCCAGTTCATTGAGCTTTTATCCGCACTCTTCACATTCACCCTCGAGAACATTTTCGATGACAGAATCAATCCGACCGAGGATACTGTATTTGCGCCGTGAATCCGTATCTGTTTAGTTTTTTTTGTGTTTTCCAGTCAAAGTATGTCTCCAGTTAACAAAAACAAAAGTAATGCTAGTAGACGCAATACTGGCGCCGCAACGATTTTCCAGCACGAGATCTCACCTTGAAGTTCCAGGTGGGCTTCAGACAGAATGCAAACCAGGCAATGAACCAGACGCAGAAGAAGAGGATCGTAATAATGACGTTGGCCAGCAGCAGATTCTCCCGGCGCACCTGGTAGATTTGGATGCACGCCACCACTAGGGGCACTTTGATAGTCAGCACCACCAGACTGCCCAGCACGGCGACCAGATGAGCGAAGAAGTTGCGTCGCGGCGATGTACTCGATCCGGCCATG